TAAAACTAACAATTACATGGGGTACCTGAGATTTTCACAACAACAACTTCTGCTAAGAAATCCTTTGACGGAGAGTAGGCAGTCACTCCTAACATTTGAAGATGGGATGACATTAACAGTTTAATATCACTTGGAAAGTAAACAAAATTCAGAGAATCTTTAAGTACATTCAAGATTTAACTCTCAGGAAAAATAATTTCTCTGACTTAATGCTTGGCTATTCAGATGTGTGAATATGTATCACTTGGTCTTTTGATGCAGGCAGTATGATTTTCAATATTCTTGCAACCAAAACCTATTAACAGGAAAGGACATGTTAAGAAAATGAAAGACGAGGCTGAGGCAGAGAGATATAAAGCTGGAAGGAGGAACAAAAACAAGTATTTGGAATTCTATACAGTGTACTTTCTGGTCATGACCATTAGAGGGCAGTACAAACTAAAGTGAATCATGAAATACTATTATACTAGGAAAATTACAAATGATAAAGAATTGTTCAAGCTCACATTGGTGCAAATTGAATTATTTGTTGCATAGCTTACTTTGCAAAATCCAAGAAAGATATATGTCCATGATAAAATCCTGGTTTCATCTCTTTCCACGAAGTCACATTCTTCACAAAACGTACCTATAAGGAAAAGGAAGTTTCTGTAGTGTTTTACAGAACAAAAACGCAATAGTTTACATATTTGTTAGATTTTATATCATGCTTTTCCTCCAGGAACACAAGGCAAATTACAGTGAGCTCTGCCTTCATTTTATCCCCATGCCAGCAACCCTGTGAAATAGATTGGGCAGACAAAGAATGGCTGGCTCAAAGTCTGCCAGGAAGTTTTCACAGCTGAAGATGGACTTGAATTGGGTCTCCCCAATCCTAATGCAACATCTTAACCACTACACCATTCTGGCTCTGCCAACAAATATACAAATATTATTAAGAAATGCAACTCAGCTAAAAGAGTATCATGAAAATAGTTTACACTGGTGCTATATTTGCCTAAAAATTTAAAGTGTTTCTCAAGTAACAGCTAGTACTGTAATCCTTTGAAAGGCCAGGAGGGTGAACCAGCATCATCAGTATTTATGATGGACAGATAGCTGAAAACACTGGGATTTGCTAAACCGGGCTAAGTTTTGAACCAGGAATTTCTTATAGTTCATATTCTGTAATAATACTTTGAACAGCTAAGTATATTTGCTATAATTATTAGTCAAGGTATATATTTATTATTCTTTATCATTAGATTTATTTCCCATCTTTCCATAGTTAGAATATAGGAATTTTACACTGACTGACCCAATAAGAACTGGTAAATACAGGTAAAAGTAAAATCTCCAAGTTAGGCTGGTAACTTCAGCAATACTTCAATTAATTTTCTTAGCAATAACACAGAAATGTTTTTTCAACTTTTCATTCTAGCCCACAGTTTGAGTTGGAAATTACTATATATTAGGGCTATGGAAAGTATTTGAAAGTGATGCTTAAAAAAGCGTCCTAGTGTAAACCAAGGACCCATCCTCAAAGCATTAAAGCGGTTACATCCTTAGGACAACTTACATGGCTGTTGAGACTGTCCCCACTTCTCGGCACAGAAAGCCAGTAATAGCCTTTTTGAAGGAGCTATGTGAGGTTTTCAAACATTTTGGCCAGCCCCCTCCCTCTATATGTATGTGTGTGTGTGTATGCTTTCTAATCTTATGCTTTCAGAAGTTTAAACTGTAATGGAAAATAGATGTAAGATAAAGCAAAAATATCTACATTATTCTCATAATTTATCAAGTTAATATATAATGATATTTCTAGAATAACCTTCCTAACACAATGTTCATGCTGACTGGAATTTTTGAGAGTTGTCTGGTAAAATGACTTTAGCTACTGCCAAAGAGAATACCAAACATTTGATGTAAGCTCCATCCTGACCTTTGGAGAAGGAGCTTGCTCCAGCCAATGCACATACACACAATTGTGAAGTAAGTTTAAAATGGGGAATATTTCAACTGTAGGATTTGATTAACTTACAATAGTCAATTCAAGTGCCAGCTCCTATCATTATTAACAACAGAATCAGCTATCAACTTGCTCAACAGAATTGCAAAGTTTGAAGTACCCCCCCCCCAAAATAACCAAACGTGTGTGTGTGTGTGTACACACACACACACACGTTTGATTATTAACAACAGAATCAGCTATCAACTTGCTCAACAGAATTGCAAAGTTTGAAGTACCCCCCCCCCAAAATACTCATAAAAATCTAAAGAGATAAAAACAACACCTAGCACAATGAGAACTGAGAGTGCTCAGTAATAATAGAACAGTAGATATTAGAGGAGAAATAGAAAACCAGGTGGGGTGATAAAGAAAGTTGAATCCTACAGGGGAATATGGCTACCTGACATCCTAACCAAAAGCATTCCTTTAGGAGGTGAGGAAACATTTTGTGTCATTTGTGACTTTCTAAAGAGGCAGAAATTTAGCAGCCATTTAAATACAAATTTAATTTTGTTTTGGTATTGTATCAATAACTAGTTCTCTATGCTATGTCAAATGGACAAAAATATATGATATAGAAACCAAATGTTATTTAATTACCTTCTACAGCATTATCACAAACTCTGATAGAGTATCAAGAAATGTGTCCTAAGAAATAGCTATCATAATCTGCTACAAACAAACAAACAAAAAAATACACTAAATAGAATTCTTCATTCCATGGGCTGCTGCAAGTTTTTCAAAGCTTACTACAAGTTTGTAGTAATATACTACAAATATATTTTTAATGCTGCTATTCAAAAGTTGCTAGGAATCTAGTTGCTATGGGTCCAGTCTCCAGATCTGAACTCTCCTAGTTTATTGCAAAGACATACAATGAATGAATTCCCAGTGGTTTTAAGTGAACAGTCACTGTAGTGCATCAGAGATTAATCTCAACAAAATTTAAATACTGTCACATGACTCTTAAATTTAACTACACAGCTTATACTTAATAGGATGGCAAAGTTTTGAATATCTTAAATATGAATTGAACAGCATGGGCTACAATAGTCTTACTGGATGGTGAAAATCTGTCCTACAGCTAACCTATGTAAGATCTAGACATAGTGATGATACTCCAGAAGATGACAGAAACATTCCAAATATGACAAGCTAGATAAATAGGAAAAATACTATTCCAACAATCAAATCTCAAGCTCCAATAGGTCACAGATCCTGCCTATTATTATTACATCAACTCAGTTGCATCCAGTTTCAATAGACTCATGCAGTATGAGTTCCCAATTCAATCCAGGGAGTTTAAGTATAAAGGCTACAAATACTAATGTGTGATTACTTTTTTT